GACCTTTTCTTTTCCTGCTCTAAAATGGCGACAAAAGAAGCATGTTTTCCTTATAAGAGTGAAAAGCATACCAAAAAGCAATGGATTGTATACTGGTGAAACAAGATCAATGTGACCACAATGCCCTGGGCATTGAAATGACTGCTGCCCACATGACTTACAGGGTGCTTGTTCATCCATTGGGCCCAACAAAGGATCATACAATCCTCCTGGCATTGGTCTTCCAACACTATCAAGTAAAATAGGGTTTGTAATCTTTAAAACATTGTGCTTCCTGACCTCTTCATCAGTCATGAAACTGAACCTTAAACCCTCCACAATCTCAGACGCACCCTCGGTGGTCTGAGCCATCTTTTACAACTGAACAGCTTCAACACAAATCGAAAACAGGTATATGTTCCAAAAGATAGGGGAGAGGGGAATAACGGATTCCCCTGTAGACCATACCGATGCTTTGCTCCTACACGATGCCAGAGAGCACTAGCGAGAAGCGCAGCCGCCGAAATAACAGTAGGGATGATAGATTTCCAAATTAAAAGTTAAAAAAATACCGCTTTCTAACTTTACGGCGGCAGACAGCACCAATAAGCAGTAAGGGCGGAGCAAGGGTAAGGGGCGACTGATGAGGGCGGAAGAGTGGTGGGGATGGAGGAGGGCGGAGGCGCACATAGAGGCAGGAAGCTGAGAGAGGGCTGAGGGTTTTTCAAGGTTTGCAAAATTAGGTCAACGAAATAGAGAGACAGAGAGTAATTATAGGAGTTTACAAAATTAGGGTAATGTTTATTTACCTTAACACCCTTTATAATTTTCTTTAATTCGAAATTTAATTTTTAAATGTATTAATAATTAGAAAAATAACAATTAATTATAGCCACACATCTTAAAAATTAAATGGTCTAGATCTGTTCTCACGTTCTCAACCTTTTAGGTGTTCTCATTTGATCTCACTCCTATATATATATATATATATATATATATATATATATATATATATATATATATATATATATATATATATATATATATATATATATATAATTTCTGCTAGATTTCACAAAGAATGTAAGCCATGGTCCCCCCACAATCAAGATGACTACGACATTTGTGATATTTTTATCTCCTATATATATATATATATATATATATATATATAATATATATATATATATATATATATATATATATATATATATATATATATTATATATATATATATATATATATATATAAAGTCTGTTTCAACCGAACCAAATTTTGACTAAAAACAAAGCAATTGGTTGTTAATAGATATTACATGAAGTTAAAATAGTCATTACACACATTTTTTCATGATATATAGTTATTTCAGAGTTAAATATATAAGATTTGAACCTATTAAGACAAGACCTGTTTCATTTTGAAGTGGTTAAATTTCAAAAAATCATCAATAGGCTACCATAACGACGGTTATTAGCTACATATAACATGTCTATACTTTTATAATTATATTCACTATTCCGTTTACTCAGTTTTGATGAATTTATCTAACATGATCATAATTAATCAATTTGTTCTTTACTCAAATATATTGTTGTAGACATACTTTTTTGTTTGGAAATGCATAAATAACCATTTAAAGAAATATATCATATTTAAACATAGATTTTGTTCACACATTAGAAGGTTAGGTATCAAGTTGAAACTCATTAATGGTCCCCTACCATATTTGATGATAAGACAGAATTGTGGCCTTCAATAATTCTGATAGATTTGAATTATACGTACGTTGGTAAGTGTCATGAATGTCGACCACTCAAAAATGGTAGGTAATAACTAATTCCGTATCATGTGGAGAGGTCGGATATAGTTTCTTGATTAAACCATGTTTTAAGAATAACTGTTATATTTGTATGATTGTTGATATTTGATATATATATATATATATATATATATATATATATATATATATATATATATATATATATATATATATATATATATATATATATATATATATATATATATATATATATAAAGATTTTTAAAAACATCTATTAGGTATTTTAGGTTTTAGAAAGAAAAGTAATAAGTTTTAAGGGATTTTCTAATATCTGTTATAAGGACACATATAAGAAGTATTAATTAATCATAATTATTATCATAATTAAATGTGAAATGCATTAATTATAGAGATTATTAATGAATTTTATATTTAATTATGATAATATTTTTTATAATTAATGTGTTTAAAATTTCATTATGATAATAATTGTGATTAATTAATACTTGTTATACGTGCCTTAGGGCACATATTAGAAAATCCATAAGTTTAAAAACAATTAATACCATTTCGACTTAGAAGTAAAATACCATAACAAAACATGAAAACAACATAAACATTGAGAATACCATTTGTTTAAAATCGAAAAAAATATTTTGATATCACTAGTTTTGAACAATCATATCTAAGTTATCTTTGGTGTTTTAGTTGAAAAAATAATTTTTAATTTAGAAAACAGCCCTATTTTATTTTTTCAACAATCTAACTCTAATTTACACTCTATAAATAAAAAAATTAATAATTACATTCTAAATTTATAGTGTTAATTATAATATAGAGAAATGAATAGTTACAATTTAAATTTAGAGTATTAATATATCATCTCTCATACACTTCAATTTTACGATTTAAAATAGAGTTTAAGGTTTAGTTGGAAATGACCCATTATAAACTCTATTTTACATCCAAAAAGTATAGTGCTACGGTGTGGTTAGAGATGCTTTAAGATAGATTATCAAAATATGCTATTTCAACCTAACTTACAAAAAATCTTGCCTATAAGCTACAATAACATATTTTGTGGTGAACCAAATGATAAAATACAATAACCTAAATTATGAGCTAACTTATTTCAAGGACCTAAAAATACAGATAATACTAATTACAAAATATTGTTCTAAATTTTAATAATACCATTAACAACATTTAAAATGAATAGTTTATCTTTTATGATTGTATTATATTACTAAAACAAAGAAGTGTTGCTCCTCTTAGCCTTCCTTAATCTCGTTACTATTGAGCATAACAAAACAAACATTGGAGTTAATGTAAATTAAAAACTTTTACTCTAATATCATGGAACGCTTCTCTATTATTATGTTCACTTACAGGGTATTGTGTCCGATCAACACCCCCCCCCCCCTCTTCCCGGGACACAAATGTCGATCACCCCGTATTCTACAAACCAAACATACATATTCTTGATTTCATAATTCAAATATTATGCTTAGATAACTTTAATTTGGAAGTAGTCATACAGTAAATAAATCTATTTCAAGGTGGAATCCGTACAATTATCCCAAAATACAAAGCAACATTAAAGGTATTCTAGCCATAATCGATGAAAAAACTTACCTTGACACCCTAATTTCTTGTTCTCGTAGTTACAAATCGTGTTTATTTAAGGTGAACACTCGTTGATTTCTTGCATAGGTCTCTCCAAGCTGTCCGGTGTTGATATTGGAGGAATATATTAGGTATTTGATAGGTAAAATAAATGACTAATAGATGAATTTCAAGTTTCAGCAAATCCTTAGAAAGTTTAACATATGTCAATTCAATGATAGAGGTAAGTCGAAGTTCAAATATAATAACCCGTATGATAACCATTGGCGGAGCTTTATAAGGGCAAGGCGAGATGATAACTAACAAAAATACCACATACACAAATAATTAGCCTCTCATGGCTAAATCTCGATAAAGACCCTCCGGTCATGTGTCTCAATGAAGACCTTCCGGTTTCACATCTCGGTATGGACCCTTAGGTCATAACTCAATATATACACAGAATAATATAGCAACATAAGTTACAAAGACAAAATTTATAATAACACATATCTCAGTATAAGCAAATAAGATCATCCAGTTAATAATACGAATAAAACCCTTCGGTCAATAACACGAATAAGACCCTCTGGTCACACATAAATTACCACGCAGGTAAGCATAGTGAGAAGACTCACCTTAGTCGATGGATACAAATCCTAAACGTGTGTTGCACAACGGCTCCACATACTAAGCCAAACAAGATTATTCCCATATAACATTCAGGGTTATACCCAAAGCACAAGGCCCAATCTAAACAGGCCCTCTAAGGCCCAAGTCTAAACTAGGCCCACAAAGGCCCAACTTAATAACTCCCTAGGCCCAACAAGGAAACCTAACAAGGCCCAAAATAGCAAAGCCCAACCTCAGAAACAAGTCCATGTCCAAAGCCCACAACTCCACTGATTAGACGAACGTACGACGTTCGTGGGCGGAATGCACAACGTTCGCCGCCAGCTCGCTTGACGGGGACTTAGGCCGGAACGCGTTGCGTTCCTAGGGATTACATGCGGCGTTCCTGGCGTAATTCCAATTCTTGTTCTATTGACTTACTCCATTAAGTCCAACGTCCAACACCTCAGAATAATCCCATAATATTGCATTAATCCATAAAGTCGAAGGCTTTAATCCTTAGCATGGCTTAAAGGGGCCCAAACATTATTTCAAGCACTCTAACTTCATAAAGAGGCCAATAACTCACATTTAGTCCTTAACTCCTTAAGTCCTTTCACCCAACACTCAGATTTGATCCAAGAAAGCACTTTACAACATAAAGTTCCTAACTTTATGCCTTGTGATGGCTAAATGTGCTCAAACACAAACCCTAACTTTTAACACAAAAACCCAAACTTCATAATCCTTTGCATGGATGGAAGGAATGGACCAAGATCACATTTTTATGACTTAGAACACTCAAATTAAACTAACGGTGAATGAATCGTGCAACTTTTAATAATAATTATAACATTAAATTAATTACAAAATAAATAAATAAAAGGATATAATAATCATTTTATATCTTGTAAGGGATAGAAGCATGCAAAATTAAACTAACGGTGAATGAATCATGCAACTTTTAATCAAATTAGGAACGGTCCGAGTTAATTTTTGAAAATAAAGACTAAACATACATTTTGGTATACACGAGGTACGGTGTAATTTACCCTTAAAATAATAAATAATAGACAAAATTACATAAATGATCTCTATGCCTTGAACAAATTACATAAACGGTCCCTATGATAGGAAGGATAAATATGCTATTTCACAAAGGATTTAACACTATTAGTCAAAATAACCGGTTTTGCAACATTTTGAAATCATAAGGACCATGTGCAAACAATTCCTCATAAAGATTACAATTGGTCTATCCTCTACAACCACAAGGACCATTTATGTAATTTTGTCGAGTTAATATGATTAAAAGATTTGCTTCTTCCGACTACCTTGCTAATTTGTTGATTTATTGTTGCTTTTATGGATGCTTTGTGATTAAAGAAAACAAAGGATTTTATCCTTATTTTGATACCTTATTTTACCTTTTATGGATGCTTTGTGATTAAAAAAACGAAGGATTTATGGATGTCTTGCTAAACGGTCCCTAACACAGCTCCATTGCAATGGTATCAAAATGGCCTGGCATGGTGGAGCCCAGGTTGAGTGGATGCCATGAAATGTTTCACTGTTCATGGCCAATTGAAGAATGCCGATCTCCATTTGATCCTTTTGAATCAATACCACCAATTCATGACCAATTGAAGCATACATCATGTACAAACAAAAACCCCCCTCAACAGTGAAGGTGAAACCTCAACGTTACCCTAAAACCCAAAATCGAATTACCTTTTCAAATTTCAACTAACCTATTCACAACTAGATCTACCTATCGGGCAGAAGGGAGTGCAACAGACTCATGAAACGACAAGTAAGGATCGCCACCATGATCAAGTAATCCCATATTCAACGAAGAATGAAAAGATGTCCGTGAAATTTCATCAGAACTACCTCCCTCTCCACCCTTCTCTATCGCAATCGCATCTTGAATCTCCTTAATAACTTCAGACATTGAAGGTCTCGTGTTTGCGTGAGGTTGGACACACATCAACGCTTTCTCTGCTATCTTCCACATCGATTGAATATCATAGTCGTCTCCTAAACACGGATCAATTATCCCTTGAATGTCCCCGTTCTCTATATGAAACTTCGCCTGCAAAAAACCAACCCTAATTACCTCTCATGGATTCAACCATTTTTTTCTTTTGTTTTTCACTTAAAAGCCTTACCCACTGCACAATGTTGCGGCAATTTATACCAAAGCTTTCGTTAGAAATGGCTTCTTTACCAGAAACCAACTCAAGAAGAATGACTCCAAAACTATAGATATCGCTTTTTTCTGTCAAATGGTTCGAGATGTAATATCTACAAATCACAAGTAATATGAAGATGAGAATCAACAAAATTATTCAAGAAAATAAGAAATTAAATCGAACATTGACTTACTCAGGATCAAGATACCCAAGAGTGCCTCGAACTATGCTTGATACATGTGAAGTTCCATCAACTGCAAGTTTCGAGAGACCAAAATCTGAAACTTTGGCTTTCATGTTGTGATCAAGAAGAATGTTGCTTGTTTTCAAGTCTCTATGGATAATGGAAGGGACACAACCAGTATGAAGGTACTCGATTCCTAAAACAAAAACGAGATATCTCATATATCAGTAAGAAAGGTTAAGTGCAAGAAATATCATTTCTTCTTACTATAATCAGATACATTATTTAGAGTGCAAATGCCTTAATAAGAAAAACAAACCTTTGGCAGATTCTTGAGCAATCTCGAGGCGCTTGATCCAATTGATTCTTTGTTCTTTTGCTAAAGGTCCTAATTTGTACACAACCCTTTGTTAATCAATGCCAAAAAGACTCAAAAAGTCAAACGAATCAAAACCAAAAGGGCAATCCGATGAGGTAAATTAAGAACTTACCATAAAGATGTTCTTTGAGAGTTCCATTATGCATGAACTCATAAACAAGAATATCCATCCCTTCTTCTTGGCAAAACCCATAGAATTTTACCAAGTTTCTATGATGTATTCTTGACAGAAGACTCACCTTCATAAATTGAATTCAAAAATATTTACTTGTGTTGATTAAAAAAAAAAAAAAGAAACAAACAAAATTTGTTGTTAAAAAAAGTAAACCTCATTTGCAAATTCCTTCTTTCCTTGATGAATGTTGTTATTTCCAAGAAGCTTGACTGCAATTTCCTTTCCATCATTCAACTTACCATAATACACAGTTCCAAATCCACCAGATCCAAGTTTCTTCTCAAAATCCTTTGTTGCAATTCTAATTTCAGATAGTGTAAAACATCGGGCACCTTCTGAAGTTGTTGTTGTTGTTGTGTTCATAGAAGAAACATGCATGATGTGTTTAGGCTCTAACAAACAAAAAAAGGACAATTAAATAAAAAATTATCATGAGACTATGAATCCTAAAATTACAAAACTTGAAGTAAAAAAATTACTATACCTTGCTTGTGATCTTTCTTCCCTTTGCGAATAAGCATGCATGAGATTATGAACCCTAAAATTAAAACAGCAGCCCCAACTAGTAATCCAAAGATAATGTATATAATGTTTCTTCCTTCACTACTTTGTTTATGAAGATTTTTGTTTCCAGTGTAGCTGATAAATCCAAATCCAGAAATAACAACTTACAGATTGAAGAGAATTATAAATATAGTTTTAAGGAACTAAAAAAAAAACACTAACTTTAATACTATGTTCTTGTTCAGAAGGCCAGGTGGCACAGATCCAGATAATAAGTTATTCTGCACATACCTGCATAGTGCATAGATTGACTCGTTGAAGTCAAATGTTGACTTTTCCATTTTTAAAGTCAAAATGAAAATAGAGTACTTACAATTTACTTAAATTAGGTAAGTTTGCTAAAGAGGAAGGTAGATGACCAGTCAACCGATTGTTTTCAAGATGTCTGGATAAAAAAAGTCTTATCAGATATGAATATGATCACAAATTATAGAATAACAAAGTAAAAGTTATTTTACATGATTTTTAAATTCGGGCATCCTGTAAAATCAGGGATTTGACCAGTCAACGCATTCCCATCAAGCCACCTATTGCAAAGAAAATGTATTTTAGACTATTTGTTATTATGTACATTTAATAATGTAACAAGAATAGGTAATTTTGGTTATGTACTAATTATGTATATGATAATATACACTTACAATTCTTCTAAGCCGGTCAACTTGGTCAAATCCAAAGGGATGCTTCCAGTCATGTTCTTATTAGACAATTTTCTGAATTGAAGGGTAGAATAGTCAATGTACATAATATCACCATGATATATATAAAGTTTCAAATTTGAAAAACTTACATTGATATAACCTTGGGTTGAGGATCGGAATCACACTCCAACCATGACCATGGAACCGGTAAGCACGGATCGCCACCTTCTTGGGCCCACTCTAACGACTTGTAAACAGAAACTATACTCGCAACCACACCCACTGAAACATCATGAAAAAAAGACTATAATACCCTTACAAGAAAAATGAGGGTAGAAATAGAATAGTGATATAGTCATACACACCATCAAAAGAAGCATCAGCTATTTCGAGATATCTACTGATTTCAATCGCATTAAGAAGAGGGCCTTCAGTAGAATCAGATGTCTTCCCGAATCTAAAGGATAAAACAAAAGGAAGTGAAATGTTATCAAATCCGGGTTCATATAAACGGTATTTCCCCTGAGCGTTTTCTTGAATGTTGACAATGGCTTTACTGATATCCGGAGCTCCGGGAAGAATTAGCCGGAATTTACGGGTTTTATTCTGATTTAAATCTTCAATTTCAGCAAAATAAGTGTAAGCCCAACCAAAACCCGGGAACCCGTCCAAATTCAATCGGTAAGTTAATGACCCGTTTCGGCCCACAACAGCTGTCTGCATGACCTTCTGAGGGGGTAATTCGTCTTTTCCGACATCAATTGGTAATTTTGTGGAAATTTTTTGGGTCCCGGAAGCCACGTCGACAAGGTAATTTGCTTTTTTAACCAAATCCGATTGCCAAATTCTATCAAACGGGTCATCCGGGTACCTTACCGGATCTTCATTTTCTGCCCCGAAATTGATTCTAGCAGAAACACTTAGAAAAAATTGGTTCTCGAATGGCGTAAGGTAAATAGAGCCATTGAATTGTCGAAGCTCGAGTGTTGAGATGAAAGGAAGGCCTGTTTTGGAATTGGATAAACAGATACTGATTGTAGGATCAGAAGCTAAAAAGATGAGTTCTTGAGATTCTATGGTGTTAGCGTCTGAGATGACAATTGTTGACCAGTGAGTGGGGCCCAGTGAGATGTCGAATTTAGGGTATACGTTGTTGTTATCGAAATTACCATATAAAAAAGTAGCTCTTATGAGGTATCGAGTCCTGGTTTTCACGTTAAGTGAGTAGCAGTATTTCCGGTTATCCGCCGGAAAATATCGGAGTGTTTGATATTGTCGTCTGTTTTCGTTTTCGATGGAGATTTTAGTCGTTGTTCCGTATTTGATTTCATCGTCGGGAATCCACTCCAGTCCGAGGTTGTCTGTGTGGTTCTTGTCGCCACCGCAATCTAGACTTATAAAACCTGCAACACGTAAGTAAAACAAGATTTATTACGCAGCTTTCTCGATTCAAGATTCATGTTCATCCAAAAAGAATAAAGTTTAAGAACCCTAAAAACATGTTAGTCGATGTTTAAGAAAAGTGATCATCGAATCAAGAAAACAGAGGATTCATCTAGAAAACAATCAAATCAAGAAAAGTAAAATACAGAGATAACATAAATAAGAATAATCTGGAAGGAAAAAGGTGAACCTGGCATCTGGGATTTGGTGAACTCCATGAAACTGTGAAGAAGAAGAAGAATCGAGACGAACAAGAAACGATTAAACCCCATTCGGGTTCTATTCTGTAATCTATATCTTCAAACGAGGTGGAAAACAGGGTTTAACAGAAGATCAAATCACAAAAAACCCATGAAAAAGTGGTTGCATTGTGAATGAAAATATGAAAAAGATTGAATCTTTTAAACCCTAGAAACAAAAAGAAATTCTTCCCCTTTCTCTAAAGTTAAACAAGTTTTAGTTTAGTGGAAAAAGCGAAAAGAAACTGATGATTTTTACTTTATAGGGGAATAATAACGTGGAGTGAACTGAGTATGAACAAGGAGAATGATTATGTGAAGAAGGCTGTGTTTAGTGTTTACCATTAACAAGAAACAGGCGGGGCCTACTGGAATGTGCAAGCACTTCTGTTGGAGTTTAGGCTGGCTTATCTTTAATAATTTCACTTGTTATGATCATTTCGTCTAAAAAATCAAACCCCTTTTTAGTCGTTTTGATAATGATTATATGATATTTTTTAGGGTAGACTATAAACTTCATCATATCATATGGTATACTTAAGTTATATATTCAGTTAAAAAAAAAAGTTTCGCAATTTCAGTTCCAACTTTTGCAATCTCAGTCACATATATGTTTTTTTTTTTGGGTCAAAATTAATGATTTTTCATTTTTGTTTGAATTTATGATTAAATCTAACTATTAGATTGCATTTAATCAAATGATATGCGAACGTTTTAGAAAAATGACATAACCTAGTTTTTATACTTTTTTTTTTATCATGATGTTTGAAAAGGACGAAAAAACATAAAATAAGATGTTAGACTATTCACATTAATACAATGTCACTAATCTTTCAAGTATATTAGCTTTGCACTTATCACCTACATCAATACAATACAAATTATCTTTCCAAAGTGGATCTCATTGACACATCACCAATTAATTTATAAAACGTAAAATAAATCTAAAATTATATATATATATATATATATATATATATATATATATATATATATATATATATATATATATATATATATATATATATATATACTACTTTTCCAATAAATTATTTATCCTTTCACTCATTATAATTATTTGTTATGGGGTGTTTTTTAAATTATTGTAAAGAAATGCAAATAAAACAATATAAAAGATACATCGGCATTGCAACTCTTCTTGAAGCAGTTGAAAGACAAAGAGGTAATATTAGTGACATGACACCTCCAATTTATTTGCAAGACATCTTTAAAAGACCCATGTGGATGCTCTTAGAAATAATAAAAATCAGATCTAAAACAGATTTACCCCATATTAAAACCATTTTATTCAAGAAAAATCGAACATTAGTTTTCTCTTTCAAGAATGAAATTATTTGAAGCATAGTTGTAAAATCATGTTTCAAGAAAAATGATGAAAGTGCAGAAAATAAAAGAATCAAGTCTACCTCCGAGACTCCAAGTTGAAAGAACTAAACACATCAAAATCATGCATATCACCAAAATCACCAGTCCACCACATATTTTTTTTTTTGTCTATCCAACTTAAAAGTGTGTGTAAAATAACTTGCTCAAAAAATAAGGAGAAAAGTAAATAATAATAATAATAATAATAATAATAATAATAATGTGAGTGAAACCTAAATTATTCCAAATAAATAATAAATAAAGATATTCCATCAAATTAACCTTGAAAGACCAAATTGTTATCAAATAGTATTTTAGATTAAGAATGCAAAATCTGAATTTTTTTGAACCTGTCCATAGCAGTGGAAATTTTTTGACTAAATTTTCAAGCTTAACATTAAATTTGTTTGGTTTTTATATACTAGATGCTTAAAATCCCAACCTGAAGAAACCACAACAAAACAAAAACTAAGTTGGACCGAAAACGATAGCAAATGGAATACCGAACAATCAATCTAGAAACAATAGCTACCATACGAATTTATGTGGTTCTACTAATGATGTGATAGTGAATAATTGTGAGATATGCCTATTAAGACATCTTCTTTTCAACATATGTTTAATGTCGATGTATGTATATTAAGACATCTTATTCTCAACATATGTATATGCTTACTTGTAATATTATGCTTATTAAGGCATCTCACTATGTGATTTATGTTCATTTGTGAATACTTGTCCGATATTGTTGTGAGGTTGGTGGTGTTCTTCAAGGCCTAAGATCGCAAAAGAAGAAATATGATACACTTAAATGTGTGTGAACAATGGAAGAAAAAGGGTCCTTCACCTAGTGACGGAGCTTGAACAAATGAGTTGGGGGACGATTGCAACAATAATTGTAACCGGTTCCTTCGAACCTATAAATAGGGTCTTCGCCTATATAAAATAAACAAGTTAAGTTTGAGTGTTTAAAAAAAAAAATAGTTTGTCTATTTCTGAATAGTAAAGTTCTATCCAAACTATCCACATAAACATTCAATTATTCAACACAATCCATCATCAAGACAATCCAACGCATCAATCAGGTATAATCTTATCTTAATATTCATTTATCCGTCATGTCGTTAAATTTGGTATCAGAGCTAAGTATCGTTCTTATTATGATTATGAATGTTAAATCTTCCGTTCATATGAATACATGTTCATCATGCATCATCATATATATCATAAACTCATTATTAAAATCAAATACTACTATCCACCTACAATTTAAACATATGTCGGTAGAAGGTTTTTTACAATTATGACTATGTACCAAGAAGTTAGAAACACATTTTATTAAAAAAAACCTCACCATCAACATCTTATTAAAATTTATAAATCGTAACTTTAAAAGAAAAAATAAATTATCATTTTGTTTTTAAAAATTATAATCATGAGTTTTTCAAGTTTAAATATTAACAAATAAAAAATCTTGAAGATAAAATAACAAGAATAATTTATTAAATATGTCTCAAGAAATAGAAAATACACCAATAATTATTAATAACGAAGAAAATGAATCAGGATACACCTTGATGCTCTAATTAACAAAAATAATATTAATAAAGATGCTATAAGAAAATCAAAATTTACACTATCTGAAAAACATAATTTTAGATATAACTCATTGAAAATTTTCTTTTCTAGAAAAAATATTATATATTATGGAAAAATTATAGGAGAAGAATCAATACCAATAGAATCAACACAAGGAAATATTATTATACCAATAATAAATAAACAACAAATTAGAAATAGATTATCTAATATTAAAGAAGTAGATAGAACAAAAATCGCTTATATTCATATATCAACTATTCAAATAATTTTAAAAAGTACTTTTAGCGATTTAGACACACCAATAGAATTAGAAATTAGAGATGATCGTATAATTAATAATCAAGAAAGTATTATTGCAAAAGGAAAAAGAAATTTAATTGAAGGAAAAATAAAATTTTATATTAATATACAACTAGGATTAAGTCTAAAAGATAAAAATTTAAGTAATAGTATTACCATACGATATAAATTATTAAGACAAAATGTTATGTTAAAAGGGAATCATTCATTTACTATTACATATCAAATAAATTATGCATTAACAAATTCTCATCATAATATTACGTTTAAAACAGAAGATAGAATTTATATAGATAAATTATTTACCCCTTTATTATCACTTGAATTACCAAATATGACTAATAATAGTTTTTTTAATGAAACTAATTTTCAACCAATAATAACTACTCCGTTAAAAAAAGATATCCAATTATAGAACCTCCAATTTCAACTATAACAGGTAGATTTTCTATATCAAAGAATCAACCTACAACATCTACTAATAACCAAGATGAAAAATTAGAAAACATAAAACAAATGATTAAATCATTAAGTTTAAGAATATGATAGAATCATCTAGTAGCCCTTTAAAATATTTTAAAACACTCGAAGGTTCATATCAAAATACAAAACCGTGCATACCAGATAAAGAAATGATTATAGAAATACCACATAATTTACCACAATGAACAATATATAATATTGGTCTTGATTCTGAAGAAGGTAAATCGATAGGAGATAAGTTAAATATAATTAACCAAAAATTAAATAATATTATAGAAATAGAAAGTTTACTTGTACTAAAACAAATTCCTGAGCTATTACAAAGTTTAACTCAACAGAAAATATTACTTGAAAAATATTTAAAAATAAAAACTATTAAAGAAAAGCCACATGAGAAACCGCTTGAACAAAAACCACTCACTATTAAACCACATTTTACATGGTAAAAATAAATAATGAGCAATAAAACTCAAATATATTGTAATTTTGATAATAAATATAAAGTCGATTTACTTAAAAAATTATAGAAAGATTTAGAAAATTCCACAAAACATTTTAAAAAAAAGAATGTGAAGTACAAGAACTAATTTCTAAAAACAAAAATTATACTGCATATCAATTAATTAAAATAGGAAGATTAAGAACTCAAATTAATCATTCTAAAATAGTAATAAAAAACATTAACAATTCAATTAATTTTCTTTCAGACGCCTTAATAATCTGTTAAAATGAATTTAAAAGTACAAATTAATTCTTCAAAAGATAACATGCTTTGGACTAATATATTAAAAAACCATTGGAAAATAAATTCTAATATCTCTAATACCATTCAACATTTAGAAAAAACTTTATCATATGAACAAAATTGTTTGATAAGATTACACTCGGAAAGTGAAGAATATAGTAATCAATTAAAAAAGATATCTCGATTACAAGAAGGAATTAAGAAATACAAAAAATCACAAAATCGTAATTTAAAAACAATACGCAATGCTTCAACCGTTCTAACAAACACAACTTGTTAATATGAAAACTTTGCACATATAGAAATTTATAAACCAATTCTAATGAGTAGAAGGAAAACAAATATTAATCCAAATAGTACCTTTATTACAACTAACATACAAGAAAAATAACTAGTCTCATATATAGATAGAAGAGCTACTTTATGTTTCGGAAGAAAAAAGATATTAAAAAATTGGGAAAAATTAGAAAAACCATTAAAAATTACAATTGCTGATAAATCAATTCACAAAATTTGGTTCGTAGGAAGAGACATAGATATAGTAATTGAAAAGGCACTATTTAAAACTTCAACTATATATCAACACGATTCGGGAATAGATTTAGTAATAGGAAATAATTTTCTTAAATTATATCAACCATTTATACAAACAAATGATCATATAAGTCTCAATCACCTAACAAAAGGTATTATAAAAACTGCAATTATCAAACATTTTGATCTTATTAAAATAATCAAACAGGAAGTTGGCTTTCAACTACGCATATTACTAACATTCGCTAAAGAAATTGCTGAAAAACAACTCGAAGAAGTATTTAGTGAAAACCCGTTAGATCAATTAAAAAATAGAAATAATCAAGAAATAATAATATTATTAAAAAACGAAGTTAATATTCCAAACAAAGTTCCATATAGTATCAAAGATGTTTCTGAATTTAAGCAAGAATGTACTAAATTACTAGAAATGGGAATCATTCGACCTAGCACAAGTCCTCATTCTGCACCTGCATTTTATGTAGAAAATAATAATGAAATAAAACGAGGAAAACGAAGAATGGTAATTAATTACAAGAAAATGAACGATGCTACTATTGGAGACTCATATAAATTACCACGAAAAGAATACATTATGGAAAAAATAAAAGGAAATACACACTTTAGTACATTTGATGCAAA